AGGGGTGCCAATCAGTACGGCCTCTGTTTTGGAGCAGTTTAACTGAAGAAAGTTCTGATTCATCCATGCCCTTATCTCCTCCAGGCAGGTAGAGAGGGCAGCGAGTGAAGTCAGAGTCAGAGTCAGAGTTTCTTTATCGTCATTCGCACCTCATGTGGTACATGTGGTGGAGCGAAATTATGTACGCAGGGTCCCAGTTACATCCAACAATAAAATGTATAAGAAAAACAGTAATGACATCTAAGATATGAACTAAGAAAAACATCAACTAAATATACACTAAGCACTCATAACATAAAACATTGAACATCAGCACAAACATGAACATGAGTCTGTGTGAGCAGATGTGCACGCATGAACACATCAACACTGAAACAGATCAGCAGCAACATGAAACAGATCAGCAGCAACATGATATGGTTTTTCACGGTGATTATTCTAGTTAGAGATTCATGAGTCTAACAGCCTCAGGGTAGAAGCTGTTCCTCAGTCTAGTGGTTCTACACTTAATGCTCCTTAACCTCCTTCCTGAGGGGAGTGGGGCAAAAAGTTTGTGTGCTGGGTGGGTGGGGTCCTTCATGATGCAGGTGGCCCTCTTCCTGCATCTGGAGGTGTAGATGTCTGTGATGGTGGGGAGGCTGATTCCAACAGATTTCTGTGCAGCCTTCACCACTCTCTGCAAAGCTTTTCTTTCTGCAGCTGTGCAGCCTCCATGCCACACATTGATGCTGGAGCACAGGATGCTCTCCACTGCACACCTGTAGAAGGAGGTGAGGACTGAGCTTCCCAGACCAGCTCGCCTCAGCCGTCTGAGGAAGTAGAGTCTCTGATGAGCTTTCTTGATCAGGCTGGTGGTGTTGTTGCTCCAGCTGAGGTTGTCATTCATGTGTACACCCAAGTACTTGTGGCTGGAGACCACTTCCACCGCAGATCCTCTTATGTTCAGGGGGGTGTAGGTGTTTTTGTTCCTTCTGAAGTCCACAATCATCTCCTTTGTCTTCTTCACATTGATGTGAAGGTTATTCTCTCTGCACCAGCTCTCCAGGTGTTCCACCTCTTGCCTGTAGCTGGACTCATCATTGTTTGTGATGCATCCCACCACCGCTGTATCATCTGCAAACTTTACAATGTGACAGCCTGGATGGGTAGCTGCACAATCATATGTGAGCAGAGAAGATGGAGATGACAATGATTTCACCATGAAACAACAAATGGGAGAAGCTTTGATGCAGCTGCAGCTCAAAGGTAACTGTTTTTTTCTCATATTATACTAAAACTTATAGACAAGTTATAAAACAAACTTAATGTAATTTGTCTTTTTAACAGGTTGGACAGATGAGACACATCTCCTGGAGCCAGTTCTAAATGATACAATTTATGACAAAGTCCATGCTCAATAATCCAGGTATACAATCCAACATTTTTCAGTCAGGTCATCTGGACAGTTTCTTTTTTATTTTGCTGGAACGTTTTGCCTTCAGTCCGGAAGGCTTCATCAGTCAACGAAACCCACAACAAAACTGATTCTTCTCCCAACAGCTTATTCCAAAGTGGAACAAACCAGTTCTGCTTGTGATAAGATGGTCTCTTTGGTACGCCCCCTCCTCCACTGCCGGCTCTCTGCCTTGTTGACAGTCTTGTCAAACTACCATACCCATACCATACCCCTTTATTTATAAAGCACTTAAAACAGCTACAAGGCCAACCAAAGTGCTGTACAGACAGAACAACAGGTAACACACAAAGCAAAATAAAATGAGGTAAATCAGAATATAGACAAAAAACGATGCAGATAATGACGACAAACCAGTGTGGATCATACAGGATCAAAACACAGATCATCTTGTGTTGAAAGCTATTGAATAGTAGTGAGTTTTTAAACGGGACTTGAAAACCGAGAAGGAGGGGGCCTGTCTGACAGAGGTAACTCATTCCAGAGTCTTGGTCCTGCTACAGAGAAGGCCCTGTCACCTCTGCGCTTAAGACGAGTTCCTGGAACTGTGAGGAGCAACTGGTCCGCTGACCTC